CCCGAGTTATGGAAGGTTATGTACTGCGCATGCGCAGAATTATCTTCGTAAATACGCATCTTTTGTTGAAAGGATATTAAGCAAAGTTGTAGCCCTCAACAAGGCGAACAACATTCGTTAATGTCTTCTTAACAAAATATGCAAGCGTAAGGTCTTACGTTCTACGCATGCGCAGACCTTCTCCTCGCCAGCCGGCATTTCGGTCTGGAGCTCTATCTGGCTGAACCGTGAAAGAAAAGTGCTTCGTAGTAGATATTACACCTCTAGAGTTGCAAACCTCAAGAATACGAAACCAAGCCAGTGGTGGAATGAGGTTAAAAAGATTTCAGGAATGGTCCCTACTGCACCGACCGGTGATATTCGCTCACAACTTCACATTAGTGGCATCGATGGAATGTCGAATAAGGATATCACTGACCTGATCAACACTGCACTTCTCGAACCTATGCAAATATACCAACCACTTGATTGTCTTCCTTCCATAGATGAAAATTCTGAGGTACTAAAGCTTGATGCTTATTCAGTCTATTCAGCATTACTAACGTTGAACCCTCGCAAAGCATCGGGGCCAGACGAGGTGCCAAACTGGCTGCTTAAAGACTATGCCGACTTCCTTGCAAACCCCATTTGTGATATCCTGAACAGCTCCTTCGAAGAACAAGCGCTTCCGGCATCCTGGAAATACGCTAATGTCACACCACTGCCAAAAACGAAACCAGTTACCATAATCGCCAAGCATATTAGACCCATTTCACTAACTCCGACTTTATCTAATTTAGCTGAGGACTTTGTCGTAAGAAATTACGTTGGCCCTGCCATTCTTGAGATCATCGATCCTAATCAATTTGGTGCCGTACCGAAATCATCAACTACACAGGCTCTTATTTCCATGATGCACACGTGGGCTTCTGCCACTGATGGAACAGGTGCAGCAGTGAGGATCGTGTTACTAGATTACAGAAAAGCTTTTGATCTAATCGACCATCGCATTCTAGTTGACAAGATCCTTTCTCTTCGAATGCCGCGTGGTGTAGCTCGCTGGGTGTGTGACTTTTTGTTGAACAGGTTCCAACGTGTCAAATTGTCAAACGATTGTTTCTCGGAATGGGGTGCAGTTCCATCTGGTGTTCCACAAGGTACAAAACTGGCCCCCTGGCTGTTCCTACTAATGATAAATGACCTCAACCCACCTGATGCGCAATCTTGGAAATATGTGGATGACACCACCTTGGCTGAGGTTGTCCCACGGAATGGTCAAACCAATATTCAGAACGCCGTAACTGAAGTTGAAAAATGGTCTAACATCAACAAACTTCAGCTGAATGCTGACAAGTGCAAGGAAATGGTCACTGATTTCAAGAAAGTGAAGCATCAGTTCGATACCATCACCGTGAACTGCAAAGAACTCGAGCTAGTGAGCAGTGCCAAAGTACTAGGTGTTACCATATCCAACTCCCTACAATGGGTGGATCATATAAATAATGTTATAAAGAAGGCAAATAAACGCTTGTATTTCCTGGTTTTGCTCAAGCGCGCTGACGTCCCTGCTCGTGATATCATCAACTTCTACAACACTTGCATCAGACCCGTACTTGAGTATTGTGCTCCCGTGTTTCATCATGCTCTCCCAGGATATTTGTGTGACGATCTTGAACGCATTCAAAAGCGTGCGTTATCGATTATATCTCCGGGACTATCCTATATGGACAATCTCACTGTACACGATATCAGTACTTTGAAAGACAGGCGCCAGAAACTTTGTAAGAAACTTTTCCAAACAGTTGTGTCCGATGCTGATCACAAGCTTTACCATCTTCTGCCGCCCTCAAAGACATCAGCCTATAACCTAAGAAGACTGCGTCGTTTTGACTGTCCTGCTACACGAACAAATCGTTTTAGTAATTCTTATATTCTGTCAATGTCAAAAGAGTAGTTTATAAACGATACCATACAGTGGGGATCAGATTTGACTTCCCCTACCACTTCCGCTGCTTATCGCTGTTTTGTTATGCATGTGATTAGTTAATTTAGTAGTCTGAATGTTTCTGATTAGTTCCTAGTCCTTTTCGGTAGCAGTGGTGGTGGTGGAGGTCGGATCTGAACTTCGCTACCAACGTTTTACAAGTACATATTTATTGATATGTGTATGTTTGTATGTATGTATGTGAGATGTACATATTATTTTTGTAAATTTTACGCAATTCAGCTTTTGTAGGCTGCTATGTAAAATCATAATAAACTATATATCTATCTATCTATCTATCTATCTATCTACCTAAATATCGAATGCGTACTTGATTACGAATTATGTCTCCATTTTATTTTCATTCTCCATCTCACTGAAGATTAATTAAATCTTATTGTAGCTTAAGCAATTGAAGAAACAAATCCAAAGTCAAGACACGAAAATTCAAAGTCAAGGAAACAAAATCCAAAGTCAAGGAAATATGATTAAAAATCTGGAAAAAGAAAATCAAGGTATCTAACAAACTAAGGATTGTTAAAGTTATAGAAAATCAAACTTCCTAAAATCGATTTTTTTTATTTTTCGATTTCCGGAAAGTGAAATATTAATCTCTCGCTTGCAACAATTTTAAAACATTTAAAATTGAATCAGTTACGGTAACGTTTTTCAAATTTTATAATCGTAGTGAGAATGATTGTTATTACAAGTGACACCAGAAGGATAGCTTGTTAAGTGATTTGAAGTACAGTATAAAGATTTCAAAACAAAAAATTGTTTGCTTTTCTGAAACTTTCACCTCTGTTCATATTAAATAATTTTGTGTTTTAATTTAAATCATGGATCACACAAGAGGTTTTTGATAATACTTTTATTTTAGCTACGTTTCGGATAGTTTACTATCCGTCCTCAGGCTAACAAATTGTTCTTACATTTGACGTGTACAATTTTTAAACGTTCATCTTACGCAAGCTAATTTAAATTAAACTGCGTGCGCGCACGCGCGCGCTCGTTTTCCTTAATAAAGTATTTGTTTAATATTGGTCTCCAAGTCATCAATGATTCAAAACTGTTTAAAACTTTCTTTTTGTTATGCCTTACCCTAATAGACTCAATTCCTTCTATAACTTTCCGCTGTCTTAATCTATACTCATTTCTCAATATTCGCGTGTTCTCCCAGTCTATTTCATCCGTACACTCTATACTGTGCCTTGCTAAACCTCCGTCTTCTTTGCCCATTCGTTCTTCTGCCACCGCCATTCGTCCATTTCTCATATCCTCGTTTGTTAATCTTACTTTGCTCTCGTGTTCCTTCTTTCTCACCTTAAACAACCTCGGATGAAATAGACTGGGAGAACACGCAAATATTGAGAAATGAGTATAGATTAAGACAGCGGAAAGTTATAGAAGGAATTGAGTCTCTTAGGGTAAGGCATAACAAAAAGAAAGTTTTAAACAGTTTTGAATCATTGATGACTTGGAGACCAATATTAAACAAATATTGTTGCATTTGTTGATGTGTGGA